GAGTCCACCAACAGTTTACACAAAAATCTTTAAATGAAGATATGAAAACTAGTGCTCCTCCTCCTCCTCATCATCATCATCATCAATGGCATCATTGTTTCGTAAAACCCAATATTATTAAAAATAAATATAGGAAAAATATAACCTTGTTCCATTCAAATAATTTTATCGAGTGACTTGTCGGAAGAAAATTGCTTCAAGGCCCATTAAACAGAATTTAATATTTATAAAAAATCTATTTCTACTGTCCCTGAAGGGCTAACGTTACAGCACTCCCAATAAATTCATCTTTAATTAATTCAAAACGCATAGAGCTCTGCCCCACGGTTCCCAAAGACCCATTGCAATAGTGCTTCCAGTGATCCAAAACATATCAAAAATATAAATAATATTGCATCGTAGAGCTTAGACCCCAGTGCTATAGCATTCCAAAAGAAACCATTATTTCTATCAAAAAAAATGATGCGGAGCATCTTAGTTATAAGTCACCTCAAGACTATCTTATCACTTTTATTCCTTCTTGTTATTTCAATATCATTTTATTTTGCTCCACGTTGCATTTTTGCTTAAGCTAGTACTATAGTACATTTCTATTTTATCCTTTGGTTTGTAAAGATTTTTGGTGGTTGCATCTACCAAAGTCTCGTATGTATAGTTTTTGTATCACGGAAAAAAATAGAAGCTTCAATTGCTCTGTTTTTTTTGTTTTTGTTTTGTTTTTTTTTTTTTTTTTTTTTTTTTTTTTTTTTTTTTTTTGACTCTTTAGTAGTTTCTTTTCCATGCGTCTTTCGCATAGGGTTGTCAATATTGGATCCGACCCGAAAGTTTCAGGTTTGGGTTGACCCGAATTGGAAACGGGTCGGGTTCAACAATTCGGTCTATTTAAAAAATTGGGTCGGATTTATGTTGACCCTTTGACTCGAAATCGACCCGTTTGTGACCCAAAATTGACCCGTTTGTGACCTGAAAAATCCATTTTGACTCGACTACCCGAGATTGATCCGTTTTTTACCCGATTTTGACCCAAAAAATGATATTGACCCGTTTTTAGACCCAAAAAATAGCATATTTTTATTGGTCTAGGGTCATTCGGGTCAGATTGACCCGGACCCTAAGCGGGTCAGGTTTGAGTCCAAAAAATTGATCCGTTTGCACAAACGGGTCGGGTTGACTCGAACCCAAATAGTGCCGGGTCAATTCGGGTTGAACCCGACCCGTAACTTGAAATTAACACCCCTACTTCTGCAATGTTGCTTCAGCTTAGTATTATAGCTTTGCAGCATGGCAGAATGTAGCAAGAGTGGGACTAACGATGAGGATCACTGTCTAGATTCCCTTTGGGACGCGTACTCTATAGTAGTTTGATAATTGGTTGAAATATATAGCTTCAAATTTTATTTCAATTCTCTGCCAAGTTAAGGCGGGAGTTCCATTCCACCAGAAGGGTGATAGAGCAGCACCAAACAATGCAGGCACCAAGACGTCTGCACAAACAAAGAATCGATTCCAGTCGGGATTGAAGACAGCGCCACATAGCTTCAGACATCACTGATTCAGAAGCGGAGGTTGGTAACTCTAATCCAGAAAATGTGTCTGAATCAAACATTGAACTCGAGTTACCAGGGCATCTTGGACAGGAGTAGTCCATAGGTGAATTCAGAGTTAAAATGGATATACACTTTTTTGTTGGACGAGTGCACATTGAGGATTATTTAGATTGGGGACATGTTCTAGAAATGTTCTTTGATTATATGGAGATAGAATATAAAAAGGAAAATATGTTGCATGATGGCTCAATAGATGTGCGAGTGCATGGTGGCTTCATTTATTGCAATGTCGCTGACAAGAAGGTCGTGGGCAGGTCCGAAGCTGGTATAGGATGAAGCAGCTTCTTCGATCTCAATCCTTGCCAACGGACAATGAACAAATATTATATCACTAGTATCAGCCTAGCATTCAAAGTAGTCGATCTGTTAGTAACTTCATGGAAGAATTTTATATACACACACACCCCTCCCGCGCGCATTGGTGCCCGCGCACCTGCCCGCACGGCCGCGCCAGCCCGCTCGAGTCCGTGCCAGGTCGTTCGTGTTTGAGCCCACCCGCAGCCTGCCGCTCGTGTTTGCGCCCGCCTTCTCGTGTCAGGTCTGGTAAACCCTACAACCTGCCGAGTCGGGTCTGGGTTCGAATTTCCTACTTGTTTACCTACCTGGGTCGGGTTAGGGTCAACTCGTTTGAACCCGGGTTAGTTCCGGGTTTGACCCAAACCCAACCCGAAACCTAGTTTTGACACCCCTACAAATGACCCTTATGAAATGATATAATGCAGAAAAAAATACGTAGAAATATTCATTGAGATAAAAATGAACATGACACTTATGAGATTGAACTCAGTTCATAACAAGTTATCTGATTCGTGCTATATTGATCTTTGTAGCACCTCAGATCGATGAGAAAGTTATATGCTAATAAAATTTATCATAAGTACGTGAATACTTCTTTATTACAAAATATTTTCATTATCAATTAGTGGCCAGCTCAAAAAGCCTTTAAAATTTGTTGTAGGACTTTTTAAACCTAGAATGATTAATTAATGATAGGAATATAGATTAATTTGTCGACAATCGAAGTGTAAGATTGTATACAACTATATATACACGGAACATTAGACTGACCAAAATCATTGATTTTATCTGATCATATACCAAGCCAAATATTATGTATTTGTGAAGAAATTGTTGTATATGTTATGGTTGAAGTGCCTCCACGCTTCTCCATCAAACGATTGCGTTAGCACTTCCTTAATTGGATACCTTTTCATGTAAAATAGGTTATGTGCTAGCTCTTTAGTACTCTTCTTTGAACATATTCATGTTTCACATATAACCATATATTTACCTTATTCAAAGGTCATGAGAGCTCCGAATTAATATATAGTTATACATAGACATTATATAATTACAGTTTATATATGTAGTAATTTAAAGCCCCACATATACGAATTTATTTGATTAAATAATAGGGAGAGTTGATCAAGTTGCAGGGGCCCCGAGAAACTGTATCCACACATGGCCAGCACCACACAATGCATGTAGCCAAAAACCTTTATAACTGAATTAGGAGTTCATTTTTTTATTTATCGATCGATCCTGATCGATCTCTAAACTAACTAATATCGATTTCCAGCAACTCCTCTGCAGGCTACCCTGGCCTAGCTATTCAGAAGATTAAGTCGGAGGAATTAAGCTACCACGCTCTAACTGCTAGCGTCCAATTAAGCAGCAAAATTTATACTATACTACTTAAGCGCGCATGGAAGGTATGTTTAACGAATTAATTAATTAGATATATAATTAGCTAGCGTCAAACTCTATGTACTTAATTATATTAATTATATGCGCATTGTATCCAATTTTACGATTGCAGCTTCCAATGCGGGCGGCGGCAGCAGACACTTGCTTGCTTCGCTTTTAGCTTTCATTTTAGGGGGAGCTAATAATTATTATGTTGAAGAAGGAGAAGAAGAAGAAGAAAGTGAGGTGGTGATCAGGAAGGTTGTGCAGTGGATTCGGTGGGCGTGGGAGGTGGTGAGGGAGTCGGCATTGGTGCCGGCGCTGCGCCTCGCGGTGGCGATGTGTCTGGTTATGTCTGTAATAATGGTTTTGGAAAAGATATTTATGGGCGCCGTCAGCCTCTTCGTCAGGCTCGCCGGCCGTAGCCCATCGAAAGTGTACCGCTGGGAGCCATTTCCCGACCACTTCGATGAGGAGATGCAGCAGGGATCCATCGATAACCATCCAATGGTCCTCATCCAAATCCCTCTTTTCAACGAGCGTCAGGTGGACCTTCACTTCTCCTCATCATCCTCTGTCCTTTTTTCAAATAATATTATATATATCTTCATAATGCATTATTATCCACTGATTATTTATAATTCTCGCGGTCAACTTTGTTTTTTTATTTGTGTTCATGCGCTTATCAGATATATTAAATCGACTGATCCACTCTACTTTTTTTTTTAATATTTATTAGCTACTTATTTTCATTTGATATATATTTTTTTAATTATTAAATATTTCAGCAACATACAATTCTTTCATACATTTAATGATAATAATTTAGTTTTTTTTCCTTGAAAATTGTTAGAGGACAAAATATAATATATTTAGTTTATCTAAAATAGTATATTTTTTTTTTTTTTTGGGATATTTAAGTCATTTAAGACAAGCTCACACACACAACGCAAACACATAGACTCGAATCCTAAATCTCTTAGTTGAAAGTCTAAGCTCTCAACCAATAAGCTAAGGAGAGCTGTGTATATCATATTTGTAATAATATGTCATTAGCATCTTATAGGTGTGCAGCTAATTAGAATTGTATTTGATTAGACAATAATAAAGAATTCTTTACTTTATTCTATTCCTGTCTTCATCTTCTTTCTCGGTTATTTCAAGAACCTCTCCGCTCAGTAAGAAACTTCTGTTCATCATCAACCTATAACCAGCCTTTTCCATTAAATAATGAATTTAAAGCCTCGGAATTCATTAAAATTGAGCTAGGTCAGAGTATATATATATATATATATATATCACGTGAGTATGTGATGGACCATTCTTCAAAATATAAGAATTAAAATACTTATCTCTATCATTATAAATATTTTAGATCGTACAGAAAATATTATCATTGAAGCCCACTATCTAACATAACCTTTGCTGATTGCCTGCCATAGAGATCTTAGCTAGTGCCAAACTGCCAATACTTTTATAAATATTTTTCACTTGATAAAATGTAAATATCAGATATATTTTAACCACCATTAAAAATTATTAAAAATTATTAATTATGCAGTGAAAAAATTAACTCAAGTTTTCTGAGCCATATTAAATATATTTCTAGATAGTTGTGTATTATCCCACCAATCTATGTTATTAATAATTGAAAATATTGGAAATTAAAACGGCAAAAGTATATGTGGCCGAGTATGAGGATTTTTTTTTGTGGCCGAGTATGAGGATGATGCCATTATTCTAATTTTATGTAAAATATTATGATTTCTTTTTCTAATTATACAACATTATGCACTGATATTCAGGTTTATAATGTGGCCATTCGTGCAGCATGCAATCTTCTTTGGCCGTCTGATCGTCTTGTCATCCAAGTTCTCGATGACTCAACTGATTTCGTTGTCAGGGTATTTTTGACTGTCACAATATTATTATTTTTTATTTATTTATGTTATTTTTTAGTAATGAATGACATAACATAAAATATATCATTTAAATTTATAAAAAAATAATTTCCTATACTTTAAACAATAGTGTAATGAGTCATTCCACGTTTCTTTATATGTATATATATATATATAGATATAACCTTGTTTTAATTTATATAAATTGTCAACACGCTCGTAGTACTATGAAAATTATGTAATTGATATAAGTTGATCTCATAACTAATGGATTATTTACGTTATATGTTAGACATAGTAGTTTTTTAGAGATTTTTTTGAGAAAAAAAACAAAACAACATTAGACGCATAAAGCAATCAATGGAGGCTCTAACAAAAAGGCCCTTCTAATAGTAAAAAAAAATGAATGAACGAGTAGCCATCAGGTACGGCGTCCCAGTAAATACGCAAGAAACTAAAATAAATGGGCAGGTAAATGAATGATGTTGTGTTGGCACCACTATTTGAGATTCGGTCCCTTTTCTTGTTCAACATAAGACAGATCCAGTGGGCCTAAGCCCATGGGCAAAGTCTGCAGCCCACGTGTTTATGCCTCCAATGCACATGACTTGTTCGTACACTGAATGTTTGTCTTTCCTTAAGTGTAGCCATCAACTTATCCCTCCACACTGGGCATAGTTAGTTTTCTAAAAAACCGTTAGTTAATACTTAATAGTAGCTTATGCAGAATAAATATTTTTCGCCCCAAAGAAAATTGACTAATAATATGCGTATTAATTTGATATAAGTGTATTAATTATAAAAATTAATTAAATTTTTATATATTGTATTAATTTTAAAGCAAACTTAACTATCTTGAGGTTTTTTTAGCAATATTTAATAAAGATAGTCTGAACTAAAACTATGCCTGTTTCTACGTACACTAAATATAAATTTTTTTAAATTTAATTTTGTAAGGAATTGGTGAAGGATGAATGTGAGAAATGGAAAAGAAATGGGATTAATATAAATCTAGAAACAAGGGATCATAGAAAAGGTTACAAGGCCGGTGCTTTGAAGGATGGGATGAAAAGCAGCTATGTGCAAAAATGCGAATATGTAGCCATATTTGATGCTGATCATCAACCAACTTGTGATTTTCTCAAACAAACGATTCCATTTCTCATACACAACCCCAAAATTGCTCTCGTCCAGGCACGATGGAAGTTTGGTAACTAATTAAGCTCTTTCTTAATTTGCTTAATTAATTCTTCGATCTGTGGTTGTCGTTTATGTGCGTGAGATTTTTATTTTTAAATTCAATTTTTTTGTGATTCATTTATTATTGCGATGTAGTGAATGCCGATGAGTGTCTGATGACAAGAATTCAAGAGATGTCATTGGATTACCATTTCAAGGTGGAGCAAGAAGCAGGCTCATCAACCTTTGCATTTTTTGGCTTTAATGGTAATTTTTTTCAAGAATTTATCCGACCGACCACGGTTTTATTATAGGATAATGGTGCATTAGCTATAGTTTGTTAGTTTTAATGAACAATTATAATGTCCAAATTGGACAAATTAAATTTAGGGACTGGTGGAATATGGCGCATCATGGCCATAAAGGAAGCTGGTGGTTGGAACGAGAGAACTACAGTAGAAGACATGGATTTAGCAGTTAGAGCAAGTCTTAAAGGCTGGAAATTTATCTTTGCTGGTCATATTAAGGTATTCCCATCCAATATATATGCATGCCCCGTCTCATTATAATATATATCAAACTACCTAGCTAATTAAACCGGCCAGTCTTCTAATTAATTTATCTCCTTTCTCTAGCTTTAATCACATATTGCTAGCTGCCCATCACACTAATTAATTAATTATAAAATCAAGGAGGATAAAGTTTGCGTATTAGACTTAGGCTTTATTTGGGACTTAAAGCAGGTTTTTATTGCCAAATTTTTAATTTTTCTACTAAAAAATTATTTTAAGAACAGCTAGCCAGCACCAATAATTAAGTGTTTGTTAAAATGCAAGCATGTTTCATGTGAATTAATTAATGTATTAAGGCATGCCTTTTTGGGTATGTTGGTAGGTCAAAAGTGAACTACCTTGCACCTTTAAGGCCTATAGATATCAACAGCATCGCTGGTCCTGTGGACCTGCAAATTTATTGAGACATATGACTTTTGAGATTATTGCAGCTAAGGTAATTAATTGGACTTCAAATTTTTATCATTAATTATTATATTTAAGTTATGTTAAGAATGTATATTTATTAATTATAATGATTTGATTAAACTGCATGCAGAATGCGACGATATGGAAGAAATTGTATTTGTTGTACAGCTTCTTCTTTGCTCGGAAGATTATATGTCATAATGTCACATTCTTCTTCTACACCATAGTGATCCCAATTTCAATTTTTTTCCCTCAAGTAGTGATTCCGAAGTGGGCGGTGGTCTACATTCCTACAACAATTACCATTCTCAGCTCAGTAACAACCCCAAGGTTTGGCTCTCGATCTAATTATCTATTCCTTCAAATTGATTAAGCATATATAAATATTAATTACAATTTATCAACATGTAATATATATATAAGGAATTTTCTTAGCTTTGCATGCACCAATATATACCTTGGTCTATATATTAATTTGTATAGCATGTGTACGCATACAAATATACGCACAACGACAGTTCCATTCATCTGGTTTTGTTATGGATTTTGTTCGAGCAAGTGATGTCCTTCCATCGATGCAAAGCGGTGTACATCGGATTGTTAGAAGCAGGGAGAGTGAAGGAATGGATTGTTACCGAGAAGTTTGGAAGCAACAATATGCAGAATGGTATGAAAGCTGATCATAAGAAGCCGAAAAGCAAGTTATGGGAGAGGTATATCCCATTTTATATATTAATTACTACGTACGTACGTTTAATGAATGAATGGGAATGGGATATGTACTGCATGCAGATTAAATGTAACGGAGCTTGTTCTGGGTGCATTCCTCGTCATATGTGCGTCTTATGACATCGCCTATCGAGTAAAGGCCTACTACTACTACATACTTCCTCAGTCGCTTTCATTCCTCATCGTCGGCTTTGGGTTCGTTGGAAACTTGTCCCAAGCAAACTTATAATCGATGATCGATCAACAGAAATAATACATTTCGGCCATCAATGAATGAATTAATAATTGAGCTAGAATAATAATGCACATATGTACGTCAAAATAAAACGGCAGTGGGTGCCATATCGCCATTATATATATTGCCAGCTATTTTGGAGGTTATTGATAATGTCATCAGATTGCATACCTCCCTCCCTCCCTCCTATGTATCTCTCATTATTGTACGCCTAATAAGAATGCATGAGATTTAATTTACTGGAAATTAGTCACACCGTCAAAAATAATGCTTCGTACAAAAAAGCTAGCGTTGAAGTTAATCGGTTCGTTTAAAGCATTTTAATTATGTCGTCTTTTTTTTCTTTTACCTAATTTTATGTCACCGCACGTGCGATTCTGAGTTCATATCTTTATTAATTTTCAATTTAAAGAAATTTTCAGTTTGAAATACTCTTCCGTCTTAAGATTATAGGGCTTTGTTCCGTTGAAGTGATTCCATTTGTGTATCTCATTAATTATTTATAAATAATATCTCTAGGCATAATTGACGAATGTACTAATGCCATAGATAAATATTTTATGTCATAGATATAGAGAGATACTTAAAAAAAAATGCTAATATAGTTGAGAATATGTCAATTGTGATGATACTTGATACGTCATCAAAAATCGTATTTATCTGGCACGAAGCTCAGGGCATATTTAAGTTGGCAACTTTCAAAGCTAAATTCGGGAGCATCCAAACTCCAATTTGAACAAACTTTTATAGTCAAATTGAACAACTAAGGAAGACGAAACCCAACAACACCAAAATCGGTCCAATCCGAGCCCACATGGGTCCAAATTAAAGGACCAAAGTATGTTTGGAAGCTTCAAAACATTAAGAATAGATGATATCAAAATATGACATGCTTATAATTGAATTGATCGGCTCGATGAGACGAATCCAATGAGCCTAAGATCGCTTAATTCTAACATCATTTGGGCACATAAATACTTGAAAAATGCTCTATGATTTAGGGGATCATTATGGGCCATCCAATGGAGCATTTTGAATTTGTCCTAGATCTTTTTCAAATTTACGGGACATGCCATTCTAAAAAAATCTATAAATAGACCCCAACTTCACACATAAAAGGGAGGCTTAAACCTTTTGGTTGGATATTGGAGAGAGCCTTGAGGCTTCAAGGATCTTGAGTTCCTCCAAGCACCACCATAAATAAACTTCTGCTGATTGTAGTCAGACCACCATCCGCCTGTTGATCGTTCCTGGGCGTTTATTGGCCACAAACTTCGCTATCTCAGACCATTGTCACTCACCAACTGCAATCCCTTCAACCACCATCATCCGCTAACTACAATCCCTCCTATCACTGAAGGTTGCTAACTATGGTCCCTCCAAAATCTCCATCGCCCACCAACTATGGTCACTTCGACCTCCATCGCCAGCCGACTACGGTCCCTCTGGGTTATGTCATTTGCTGACTATACTCTTTCGACCTTCATCGCCCATTGGCCATTGCCTATTGTCCCTTCGATCATTGTCGTTCGCTGACTACGATCACTTTAATTAGGATCCCTCTGACCTCTGTTATCCACCAACTACAGTCTCTCTGACCACCATCATCTACTGAATACAGTTGCTCCGACCTCCATCGCCCGCCAACTAAGGTCTCTCATAACTTCTTTGGCCCATGACTACGGTCGAATTCAAACCTTCGTTGCCTCCCGACTACCATCCCTCCTTCCTTTGTCGCTTATCAACTATGGTCCCTCCAATCACTGTCACTCGCATACTACGGTCCTTCTGACCACCATCACATGATTACTAAGATCTGTCCAATCTCTATTGCCCGACTACAATCTCTCTGACCTCCATCACCAATAACTACAGTCCTTCCGATCATCGTCGCCCGACTAAGATTCTACCGATCGAATGAATAAGCCAACAATCACTTGAGAGTAGCTTACATATCATTGGATTCTTCCAACCCCAACTAAGCAATATGATGTATATTTTATACATTGAGCCAATATTTATAATTAACAACAAATACTAGTGGATTCATTTCAAGTGGGTCATGCCCCATAGTTTTTTTCCTTTTCAAGATTTCCACGTAAAAATCTTGATGCCTCTTACGACTCTTGCATCTCCCTCTCTTATATGTCTATATGTTGAATTTTCATACAAAGCTTAAATGCTAAACTCTATATCACTCTAACACTGTGAATGTTCTAGCCCTCATTAATACTAATGCATAATCCAAATATTTTCATTTGAAATTTTTTATGATTTATCGGTTGATCCTAAATTAAGAAAAAAATTATTATTATTATCCAATTGATAGGGATATATTGAGAAGAACATACTTATAAAAGTATCTTTTCAGCCTTAGGATCATGAATTTGTGCAAATTCACATTGGAAATACATTATGTTGGTTTAATCATACATGGCTGGCTTATTGATTACAAAGAATGAATAGAATATAATATCACCAAGGATACAGTTTATTGCTTATTTTGTTGTCTTTATAAACGAGAAATAACAAAGCAAGCAGATGGTAATAGCTTCAATACAAAGTGATTTCAAAATTAGAAAACAAAGGAGAGATTCCAAGTCAATGTTGGAGAAGTCAGTTCTCATAATATTGCGTGGGTAAACTTTGAAGATCTAATGAATTAAAAACAAGATTGTTGCGTCCAGGAGAATTCGCGGCGGTAGAGAAATATAAAGTTTATCGTCTTAGCATTGTACGAAAATCCAGCACGTAATCAGATAAGAGAGAGGGTCTAGCATTTATGAGACACCAAAATTTTTACGTGGAAACCCCCTGAAAAGGGGGAAAAACCACGGGGCCTAGCCCAATTTGAATGAATCCACTAGTATTGTAGTCGATTACAAGTGAGGCCCTTCCTTGGGAGAAGACCTTAGCTTGATGTACATTTTATAGAGTACATTACATGATGTGAATACAAAGAATCACTATTGACATGTTCATTTGGTCGGGAGGACCGTAGTCGGCGGGCGACGGAGGTCGGAAGGCTTGTAGTCGGTGGGCGATGTAAGTCAGGAGGACCGTAGTCGATGGGCGACGGAGGTCGGAAAGACTGTAGTCTGACGACGAAGATCAGAAGGACATTGTCAGGTAGAAGTCCAACAATGGAAAAAATTCCATCTTTGCGTAGACGTCCAGCGAAGTCCGATAACCGATAGAAGTTCAGCGTCGGGTATAAACTTGACGAAAAGTGAAGGTCCGACGTCGGGTAGAAGTCCGACGTCTGTTGATGGCAGAGGAGAACTCCGGCTTCATTTGGGCGGAGTTTCGGCGTCAAGAGGGAACTCTGTTATAAATTAGGAAGAATTTCAGCATCACGTGGAAGTTGGGCAGAATTCCTCCGTTCTCCCGAATATCACGCAGAATCCCGGCGTATTCAAGCGGGGGGAAGAGCTCCGGCGGTGGTCGAGGAGGAGAGGATTATCCTTTTCCCCTTTTTCCTCTTCTTCCCTTCTTATTCTCTCTCTTCAGTTGAGTCCCCTTTGTGTAGAATGAAGACTCTATTTATAGTTTTTCTGGAGTGACATGGCTTGTAAATATATGTGAGATCAGGGGCGAATTGGGAGTGGTTTGAATGGACGGTTGATATTGAATCCTTTGATCATATACCGTTCGTCAGCCATTTGAAGGCTTTAGTGATGTTGGAATCTGGCGATCTTAGGCTCGTTGGATTCGTCTCGTCGAGCCGTTCGATTCGACTATAAGCTCGCCAAAATCGGAGACCGTTTGGTAACTCAAATTGTGGTTTGAACCTTCCAACAGTGCTTTGGGTCCTTGATTTGGACTCATTTGGGCTCAGATTGAGTCAAATTTGGTGTCGTTGGGTTCGTATTTCCGAGACGCTCATTTTGACTGTAAGTTTGCTGAAATCAGAGTTCATGTGATCCCGGATTTAATTTTTGAAGTTTCCAACTTGATTTTTGCCTTGAGATTTGTGCCTAATCAAGATAATTTTTGCATGACGTATTAAAGATATTATATTCTTTATTACAAGCTATACCTTCCAATCAAAATCAAACATATTACAAAACTCATTTAACTACTGTTATTGATTGTGTCCGATTTCTGCTACATCAAAGATTAACTTTTCGTAGTTATGTTGAATATGAAGAATCAGAAAATCAAGAAATTTTTTTAGCACTTTTTCACTTCCTTAGATCACATAATGAAAGTATAAGAATAGTAGGAATAGAGAATACCTAAAAAATAATTAATTTATTGCTTTAATATTAAAAATGAAATTACTCATCATGCTGCCATCGAAACTGTGAATCTCACCACGAACAAATTAAGTAATGATCTATTTCTCATTATTGAATGAGTCGTGAGATGTATCAATAAAAGAGTAAGTAGTTATACGCATTACTTATGTTGATAAAAGAATCATCTTGATCGAACACTTTTATTAGAACTTGCATAGTCATGGAAGGAAACCTCTGTTTTGATACTTCAAAAAAGTTTGTTCGATGTTCCTAATTTTTTTTAAAAAAAAATTAGATTCATATAGATCAATTCCACTCTTGAATCCTGTTCTATAAGACTTGGTTGATTATTAATTAAAATCAGTTTTGCATTTGACTCTGACCGGTATCTAACAACTTAAAATCAAAACCAGATCGACTCATTTTAACTTTAATTTTAATTTTTTTTTAATTTTATTTCATTTATTAAAAAATTCAAGTTTATTATTTGACATGACTAAATCACTTGAATGTGGAGGTTCTCATCTTCATACAAACTCAAGAAAATACATAATAAAATTTACAAAGTTGGAAATTCCGAATTGATGTGTGACTAAAGCAAATGTGAAGTTTTTACTTTTTAAGTTTCCAACATAAACTAATATATTTTAAATAGTTTTTTATGATATAAATAGTATTATTTTTAATTAATAATGATTAATTTAATTATATATTTCATTTATTATTTTACGTATTATAAAATTAATTAATTATTGATAATAAATGATCTAACTTTTATAATTTATAAATGAAAATTTATATTATGAATTTAATATATAATTCATAGGTTTAAATTATATTTAAACATATAACATAAATTAATAATAAATTTATATGTAAGTTAAATTTTTGTTAAATTTGAATTAAATTTAAATATTGATGTTGTTTAAATTTAAACTTACATAAGATATAACTAATGTGTAAATTCAATTTAAATTTTAATTGAAAATTGTATTATTATATAAT